CACCGGTGAGCCGGCGGCAGTAGATAACGCGCCGATACTAAATTCGCATAATATTATATAATTCACAAGACACAAAATATAATTAAAACAAAATAAATATAAAAATAACGGCTGGTGCTCGCGAGTGTTTGTGTATGTGTGTGATTGTGTCGATCGGCTGTTCCTCCGTAACCGATAGTATTTTACTATATTATATTATATTAATTTATGGCGGCAACAATAATGTTTTTGTATATTCTKTATTTATGGGCTGTGTTTTATTTTATTATAACAATACTACCTCCTCCAATTTATTTAATAAAAATATTATAATTTTAGGAATCATTTACATAAATATAATGAAAAATATTTAGTATAGAAAAGCCAGAAAAGGTATTTATAAATTAAGTTCAATAGATATTGTTATAAAATATTTGTCTTTTTTAGATAAATAGCTTTATTATACACCTAGAGCATTACGTACCTAGCCCCACCCAAGGGTACAGTAATTAAAAATTTTAGTAGGTACGAAAATCGAAAGATCAATGAAAATAAACAAGTATCGTTTACTACKGTAGGAATATTGTATTCGTACAATACTCGTTTGTTTGCGCGACTACAAACGTAGAGATTGAGACGTGAGAGATGTAGAGTTTGAAAAACATGTTCGATTCTAAGCATAATGGTAAAGTTTAGGTTTATATGGTAAAATTTAGGAATACTAAAAAAAATAAAAATAAACAATTCAGYCATGAACAAAATAATAAAATTCACTAAATCGAAAGCGAATAACTTCATTTTGACGAGAAATACATGATAATTACATAAAACAAATTTTAAATATTAATTATCAATCGTTTATCGTTATCTATATAATAAGAATCTAACTTGATTTTGTGGACGAAGGAAACCGGTTTTGAACCCGCATTATAATAATGATAATAATAATTAACTAATTAGCAATTATTTTCATAGATTCACCAATAACGAATGACGATATCTGTTGTTTCTTTTTTTTTCTTTTGTTTGTTTATTTTATAATCATTAACCAATAATAATGTACAAAAATACGCATGCGCGTTCCCTTATTTATTCGATTGATCAGATCGACAGCTCCAACTCCAATCGTTCATTTGCTTGTCAGCATTATACTATACATTTTTTATTTGTCAAGTTTTATTTAAATATATAATTATTTAAATAATAATTATTATTATTATGAGTAATAAGAGGTGCATCGTTTTCCATTGTGAAAATCGTTCAAATTGCAATCAAGCAATTTCATCGTATGCAATTCCAAATGGAGGAGAGAGGTATTTAATAACCCCTAATACTTAATAATTGTAATTAATAATTCTATAAAGTGTACCCACCTAATGATTTAAATATTTATAGGTTAATACAGTGGCTTAATAGTTGCAACAGGACCGATTTGTTAGAACGTGAAAACAATATTCGTACGAATAATAAAAACTTAAGAGTGCGCAATTGTCACTTTGAAACCAATATGCTTTTTACTACATAGCGTAAGAGGCATATATCAATTGCGCCCTAAATCACAGGTAAAAAAAGAAAAATTATGAGAAAGGGTTAAGTACATTACGTATTTGATTTGCCAAATCATGGCTGCTGGTTATACTTTTACAAAAAGTATAAGAAAAGGGTTGTTTATATTTATTTACAACTCCTCTTATCATGAAAACAAGTGCGTGATCAGCAAAGTTTTGAGTTCTTGAAACACCATTATCTTCGAACCCAGTAATTGAACCAATAATGTCATTATACTGAAGATTACTTTCAAGACTCATTTCATCAAAATGAACTACACAATATTTTTGAGCACATATCAATTGCGCCGTAAATCACAGGTAAAAAAAGAAAAATTATGGGATAGGAAAAAGGTCAAATACATCAATTGCGCCGATCGAATCTTCAATGTTATAAATTGTGTACGTCAATTGCGCCGATCTATTCTTAAATACATCATTATATAAACAAAACTTAAAGATTAGCAATGTTGTATATTTGATAAATAAGGAACTTAAAAATAGGTTTTGCAACTATGGTTTTTACGTGTGTAAGGAAATATGATATTTGACCATAATATATAAGGCATATTTTTAATTGCCTCACAATATGATGAAGCTGATGTTGCCAGATAAGTCATTTTTATATCAAATGTTTTAAAACTTTAACAGTCATCGACTTTTAGATTATAAATTGTTTAAATATTGTGTAATTTTGTTTATTGTTGTACAAATTATTATAAAAATAATATAATGAATATTAATAATAATATAAATTAATATTTACTTAATATATTATAATATAATATAATTATTATAAAAATTAAAACTAACCATGACAGTCTGTGTCATTGCCATATGTTCCGGCGCAATTGACGAACACCATGTATTTGGTATGTGGTATAATATATATGTTACGGGTAAAGTACAAAATATGGTTRGTGTTCACATTATCCGGGTAATGTGTACACTACCTGTACCTATTGGATAAAGTAAAAATACTATTTATAAAACGTTTATTTCGTACTTTACTCGGGTATTTTACACATTATCTACGACTGAGTGGGTAATGTACTTATGTACAGATAAAATGTATATGAGAAAATAACGATTGTAGATAAATGTTTATGAAGAAACACACGCAATAATATTTAGTACAGTGCTAGTTCGTCTTAATACACGCGTCGTACATATAATAGGTTTTTAAAATGACTTCACGCGAAAAAWTTTAWGARTGTTTTTATAAAATAGTTAATGAAAAAAATAATAATTCAGTTTATTTATCGGCAGTTAAGTATAACGAAATAGTTTCGGAAATTAAAAATGTGAGATCAAGTGGAATAAAAAGTAACAAGGCATATCGAATTTTGAAAAGATACGACCTCATTACTATTGGAGAAGAAGATAAATTAATATTGCCGTTGTTGGAAGGTAATACAAACATTTTTACTATATTACTAATGAAAA